AACAACAACAAAAAAACAATAAAACGATGCAAAAGATAAGAAGTTTTCTCTTACATTTCACCAACAAAAATTAAAAAGTAGAACTTCATGAGTCATAGCTACTTATGCTGTGCTGTTCAATACAAGAGGCACTGGCCACACGCAGCTACTGAGTACTGGAAATGGGGCCAGACCAAATGAAGATGTAAGTGTAAATACACCCCAGATTTTAAAGATGCAGTATCGGGGGAAAAAAAAAACCTTAAAATATCTCACTAATGATTTTTATATTCACTATGCATTGAAATGGTATTATCAGATATATGAGACTAAATAAAAAGCATTATTAAACCTAATTTCAGACAATCCCACTCCTCGGTATTTACCGTAAAGAAAAAACACACTCACACAAAAATCTGTACAAAAATGATTAACAGCAGCTCTATTCATGATCACTGGAGACAGAAAACAGCCCAAATGTCATTCAAAGAGTGACTAGATAAATAAACAGTGGTACATCCATACCACAGAATCTACTCAGCTATTACAAGAAATGAACCACTAATATACATACAACTTGGATGAATCTCAAAGGCATTATACAGAGTGAAAGAAGTCAGACTCAAAAGGCTACAGACTCTATGATTCCATTCACGACATTCTTAAAAAGATAAAACTACACCAAGGGAGAAGAGATCAGTGGTTGCCAGGGGGATTTTAAAGGGATAGCATGAGGGAGTTGTTTGGGGTGATGGAACTATTCTGTGCCCTGATTGTGGTGGTGATTACCAGAATCTATACATGCGCTAAAATTCAAAGAAGTGGACAACAAAAGAAAAAAGTCAATATTACTGTATGATAATTAATTTCACTTTTTTTTAAATCAGGCTACTACAAAATTTTAAATTACCTATACAGTTCTCATTATATTTCTATTGGACACCACTGTATCTACTTCTAAAAGAATTAGAATCCACTTTCACTAATTTGCTGATTAAAAAAAAATGTGCACATCTGAGATCATTCCCAATAAACTGAATTTGCCTATTAGGAATTAAACAAAGACAGGGGTGCCTGGCTGGCTCAGCTGGTGGAGGATGTGACTCTTGATCTCGGGGTTCGAGCCCCACAATGAAGATAGAGATTACTTAAAAATAAAATCTTAAAAAAAAAAAAAAAATTAAACAAGTGCAAAGCCCAAGCACTACTTACCAATTTCTCCATGATGAATACTACATCATTTTCATTTAGAATATTTTTTAAAGGATTTGGTTGGCCTTTGCTGATCAACTGCACTTGAACATCAGCCTATTAAAAATAGATAAAGTCAAGCAGTTATATATACACACATATATATTAGTACAAATATTTAAACACAAAGACTAATTTTTACCTGTACCCCTGAAATAATACATTATGTTACTAAAAAAAAAAAAAAAAAGACTAATTTTACAGAAACAATTGAAAAAGAGAATTTGAACAAGACATAATGTTCTAAAGAGAAGCATTCATTTATTCTTTGCCATGTTGTTTTTTCATGTTTAGACAAACCTAGCTCTATTCACTTCTACACAGGCTTCAAGGCCTCCCTAAAGTGCACCCTGCCTTATAGAGCCTTCTTTTGATGAGGATCAGAGACATCCTCTTCCTTGACTCATATTGTACTTACTATAATGTACCATATAATTAGCAGTTTATAAATACGATCTTTTATTCTGATTGTACTATGGAATTTAGAACTTTTATCAATCTCTAGGAACTATGTATTTTTTCATTCCAATTGCAAGCATGTTCACTGCAGAAAGGTCTGAAAATAGATAGCTAAGCCATTTTAACTCACATATAATTCTACTAGCCAGGATAATCACTACCGTTATTAGCATGGTTGGCATCTATTTTAGATCTTTTTCCATAAATAAATCTACTTAAGTAGAAATGTATTCAGTATTTAGATATCTAGATAGGATTTTGCTTAATAAAAATAGACATTCTGTATCATACACTTCTTTCCACCCCATTAAGTGTTCTTTGGCTCTACCATCATATAACTAATCCCATTTTGTTCAACATTTGGATACTTTTTTTTTTTTTTAAAGATTTTATTTATTTATTTGACAGAGAGAGACACAGCAAGAGAGGGAACACAAGCAGGGCGAGTGGGAGAGGGAGAAGCAGGCTTCCCGCTGAGCAGGGAGCCTGATGCGGGGCTCGATCCCAGGACCCTGGGATCATGACCTGAGCCGAAGGCAGACGCTTAACAACTGAGCCACCCAGGCACCCCAATATTTGGATACTTTTAAGTTATCTACTATAATAAATAACTAATAATAGACATCCTTGAATTACTTTCTTAAGATGAATAGTTAGAAACACACCGACTTTGTCAAATTGCCTTGCAAATATGCTGCCCCCACATATTTGCATTCCCATCACTTATGGCAACACAGAGTATATTTTCACTGCTTATTTTTACCATCTCACAGCAAAAAATAGTATCTTGGTTGTTACTGTTTTTTTCATTTATTTGATTACTAATGAAGGTGACCAGTCTCTCAAAGGCTTACCATTGACAAATAATTCTCATTACCTGAATCCATTTCGTTTCTCAGTTTGGATCCTAAAGCATTTAGATACCAAATCCAGAAAGCAAAGGATGTTGTGTTATTATAATCTACTAGGTTCTTGAGTTTCAAGTACTGTTGTGGATTGAATATGTCCCCGAAAGACATGAAGTCCTAACTCCTGGTTCCTCTGAATGTGACTTTACAAGAAGGGTCTTGGCAAACGTAATCAAGTTGAGGATTAACTTGGACTGGGGGGGCCCCTAAATCCAATTACTGATGTACTTATAAGGAAGGAAAGATTTAGAGACATAGACACAAAAGGATGCTATGTATTGACAGCTGCAGAAATTAGAGTGATGTGTCTACAAGCCAAGAAACTCCAAGGATTGTTGGAAACCACCAGAAACTAGGAAGAGCTGAGGAAGGATCCTTTCCTAGAGCCTTCAATAGGAGCATGGCCCTCCTGACACCACCATTTCAGAGTCCTAGTCTCCAGAATTGCAACAGAATAAATTTCTGATGTTTTAAGCAAACCAATTTGTGGTTACGGCAGCCCTAGGAAACTAATATACGTATCAAGCAAGAATTCCAATGGGGAGGGATTAATACATTTACCTAGATATACTTAATTCCTGAGTTTGGTTAGTGATAACTCAAACAGTAAGAAATAACTCTACTTGTAATTTTCTTTCTGGGCTTACTTATTTATGTCTTTTGTCTATTCTTCTATTACAGTTGTCGTTTTTCTTTGATTTTTAAGAATTTTTTATGTATTATATATATATTAACATTTATCTTATATGACTATTTCTCTCCAGCTTATTTGTCTTTTAGCATACAATTAATTTTAGTTCACTAATTATTTTATAGATTAAACCATATGGGGACTTTAGCTATGGAACACTTGGCATATATTAAATGCTTAATAAATCCATGAATGTTTATAGCAGCTTTATTCATAACTATCAAAAACTGGAAACAATCCAAGTGTCCATCAGCTGGTAAGTGGTAAGTGTCGCACACCCATACAATGGGATACTATCCAACAATAAAATGGAATGAACTACTGATACACACAAAACATAGATGAATCTCAAATGCATTACATTCCTTGACAGAAGCCAGACCCAAAAGACTACATACCGTATGATTTTATTTATATAACATTCTGGAAAAGGCCAGGGACAAAGGGCTGATTATAAAGGGACATGAGATTTTTGGAGGTGACAGAAATGTTCTAGATCTTGATCACGGGGGTGGTTATATGACTGATGCATTTGTAAAAACTCATAGAACTGTACCCTAAAAGGGTGGGATTTACTATAAACTAACTTCAATGAACCCAACTTTTAAAAAAGCAGAATGTTAGGATTACTGAGTTGTGTTTAAAAACGAAATAAATTGTTCATACCTCATAGATAAATGGATCTTTATGGATTCCTTTCTTTTCTTCATCAAACTCCCTGAAATGAAGAACTACACGTGAAAAACAGAGTCATAGTATTCTGATATTTAAATTCAGTAGTCATCACTTTACCTCTGTAGGACACCAGTGAAAAAAGCAAAGCGCAAAGTAGTCCTGACAGCCCTAAGGCATGGTTGGGAAGAGGGGGAAAAAGCAGAAAAAGAATATGAGAAGGGACGCCTGGGTTGCTCAGTCGGTTAAGCATCTGCCTTCGGCTCAGGTCATGATCCCAGGGTCCTGGGATCAAGTCACCCATAGGGCTCCTTGCTCAGCGGGGAGCCTGCTTCTCCTTTCTGTATGCCACTCCCCCTGTTTGTGTGCACGCACTCTCTCTGACAAATAAATAAAATCTTTAAAAAAAAAAAAGAAGAATATCAGAAAAAAAGAGATGTGGTAGAAATTAACAGACTGCTACCCACAACTGGGCACAATAGCTTCTCAGAGGCAGCAGGAAATCAGGTTACCTACCTCTACTCTCATCTTCTAAAACACATCATCAGTTACTATTAAAATGTAATATACCATGTAACTTATAGGAAGTAAAAATCACTGGATTCTGATCTGCCACTGAATCAGTGGGTAACCATGGAAAAGTTATTTAAGGTTCCTAGTCCTAGATTTCTATGGGTAAAATAGAAACACCTATCCTCCCTCTATTTTTATGAGCGGTCACTAAAAACTTAGTAAATTTGATAATGTTAAACAACTTCCTTTTAAAAATTTAAGCACAAAACTCTTGGGTATCATTTAATAATTATCATTTCATTCAAGAAAGTTCTAAAATAGTCATCCCAAAGCGTGTGAACTATAAACCATTGAACATCCCAAAATGCACATCAGTCTGCTCTACACTCTGAAAGAGACACAATCTTTAGAGACCTAAAGAAGCCCAATGGAATTGTTTCAGGATACCATTTATTATTTGATCTACTCTGACTTCCTGAAATAAAAACAGGAGAGCTAGGCCTGTGATTCACTTTTGCCATTTTGGACAAGACAGTGACTTATTCTTAAAGATAATTGCCCTTTGTGTATAACTGAGGGATGTTATTCAATTATTCAACAGTCATGTATATTATAGGCAGGCACTGTTCCTAGATGTTCAGGATATACAACAAAAACATAGTCCCTGGTTCATAGTCTTGACTGAAGTCCAAAGAGTAAGTCCACAGTTAGAATACAGGGTGATGGGTGCTCCAACAGAGGTGAGTGCAGGGTACTGTGGCCACACAATGGAAGACATGTTGCCATACCACTAGAATTTTATTCTGAAAACCAAGAGGAACTCACTCAAAGATTTTATTTAGTTATTTATTTGAAAGAGACAGAGAGCACGAGAGAGAGCAGGGGGGAGGCCAAAGGCAGAGGGAGCAGGCTCCCTGCTGAGCAAAGCCCCAAAGTGGGGCTCAATCCCAGGACCCCGAGATCATGACCTGATCAGATGCTTAACCGACTGAGCCACCCAGGTGCCCCACTAAAAAATTTTAACTGGGAAATACCTCTCTGACCATGAGATGGAGGGCATAAACTTGGAGGCCAGGAAAATAGCTGTGAATAAGTGACAATGGCCTGAACAAGAGCAGTAGAGATAGAGGGGAAACAAGGGTACCAGGTGACTGATTTAGATGGAATGGGGGCTGGCGGGGGGTGCTGGAAAAGAGAAGTGAGAATCTTAGATTTGGAACTCTTAATTCAGAGATAGGATTCAGGAGCAGAGTGTCAGGTTGCTGGGAAAAGATGAATTCGGTTTTGCAGATACTGAGTTTGAGGTCTCGTGGAAATTTCCAGTAGGCAACTGGATGCACAGGCATTGTGAAGGACTCAAGAGAAGTGAAAGAGACTTCTGTGCTTACAAGTAGAGAAAAAGACTAAGCTCCGTGAAATAACCGGGAATTATAAATAGGATCTAAATAAAACTGTATCAATGGGGAACTGGTTAAATAAACGTAAGACAGACATAGGATAAAATATTACAAAGCAGTTAAAAACAATGAGATAAATCTATAGGGTGTCATACTGAAAACCATCCAAGACATTAATAAAGAACCTAGTGCTCGGTCTATAATGTTCAAAAAACTGTCAAGCATTATTACTTTTTTTAAAAGATTTTATTTATTTATTTGACAGAGAGAGAGCACAAGCAGGGCGAAGCGGCAGCCAGAGGGAGAAGCAGAATCCCCTGCAGAGCCGGGAGCCCAATGAGAGGCTCTATCCGAGGACCCTGGGATCGTGACCTGAGCCGAAGGCAGATGCTTAACCAACTGAGCCACCCCGGCGCTACATTACTACTTTTGTAAGCGGAAAAAAAGCAATAAAGATAAATTATGAAAAATTATGGCATTTAGAAAATTAGGGGTTAGATTACATCAGTGGTTCTCAAAGTGTGGTGTCAAGCCAGCAGCAGGTTTCACCTGGAATTTGTTAGAATTCTTTGGCCCCACCCAGACTTACTAAATCAGAAACCCTGGAAATGGGGCCCAGCAATCTTGTGTTTTGACAACCCTCCAGGTGACTGATGCAAGCTCAAATTTGAGAACCGCTGGATTAGATTTTAAAGTTGGATGCAGAACTAGATGGAATCCCCTTTTGTACTAGCATTTCATTTTAAGAACAAAGTCTTAGAGCACAGTGAAATAAGGGTACTTTAAAAACCCAACACACTATTACGTTATTACAACTGTAGCACAAATAATTATTCTGAATAGACAATACGTTTCACACCAGAAAGGCTTTAAAGAGATGAAGGATGCCAACATCTAGTTTTCCAAATCCTGAGAGGCGTCTCTAACATATCCTAAATTCGGTGGATCATCCGCATGAATAAAGCGCCTCGAAAAACTTGTCACCTTCCACCCCGATTGATAACGTTGTTTTCTCCTATACGAGACTACAAGCAAGCCCCCACAGGGCCAACCCCACGCTGCAGCAGATAACCGGCCTTTCTCCAACTCCCAGACTCCAGGAAAGCTGCCTTAGTTTGAAACTTAGGCGCCGCTGAGAACTGACAAGGCACTTCTCCCCAAAGCAGGGGAAAGAGGCTTGGGGTGGGGACCGAGAAACACGCCCAGGGAGAAGTGCTGCCCTCGCACCCTAGGCAACAGCACCAGCTACAACTCACTGCAGGAGACGAGAGTAAAACTCCTCGGCAGCTCGGTTCATTCGGGACCACATCACGCCCCAGTTTGACTGCAAATCCGAGACCACCAAACTGAACTGCGCGCCGGCTGCTGACGTCCGGGGTCATGACCCCCTCGCCGGGACTACGTTTACACCCCACCCACCTCCGACAGGCCCCGTTTGTCGACAAAGTTAATCTTTTGTTTTAGAGCACACAGCGGTTTTTTTCCGTCCCAGCAGTTTTCCATTCCCGTAAAAAAAAGTTAAAGTAAGTTGCAGTGGTTGAAGGGGAAAACGATATCTCGTCTCGCGAGAGTTGCCACGCCTCCTTAGGGATTATTCCGCAAGAAGGAGTCCCTTGTTTCTAAGCGCTTTTGTTGGCTTTTAAAGTCAGTGGGTATCGTAGTTTGATGCATGTAAAGAAATAACACGCTATTTGTTATTTTTTATAGAGTGGTAAAGCGATATTTTGTGTCTCTGGATTGGTTCTGAGGCGGGGCAGGTTGGCGGACGAGTTGAAGGTTACATATAGAGCGGAAGTGCGAAGCACTTCCTTTTCCTATAGGAGCCGCCGGGTTGAGAGGAGCGTGGCCCTCTCCTCTCCCCGCGATGGTGAGTGGAAGCTTTCTCTGGTGGGCTTTTCCATGCTCTCGGGTCCCGGCAGGAATGGGTTAGGGGTTTGGGGCATAATATCTTCAGGAGAGAAAGCGAGGAAAAGGGGATGAGGGTCAAAGGCGTCTGTTTGTGGCTCGGAGCTGGGTAGTGCGGCTTTACGGCAGCCATTTTAGAGGCAACGTGGGCGTCCCAGCACAGGGCGACATTAGATCGTTCTCAGGTGCAGAGGAACCTTTGGGATTCTAGTTTTCCTTGGATCGTATAAGGCATTGGTTTTCCTGACAACTTGGAAACTCCTGGGGCCTAAGGCTGAATCGGGGTGAAAATCAATTTTGGGCCTTGTGTTTTCACGTGCTGTTAAATAAGGAATATTATCGTGTTTCGAGAGAGATCTTGGGAAAGATTTGTATATCCACCTTTTTCTGAATTCTCGTCTGTGTTCATCTAAGAATCGCCTCTACAAAAGCTTCCCGATCCTCTTACTTTAAAAATTGCTCTGTTAGGTGTCCCCTAAACCATTAAATTCTTAGCTCGTGGTACGACTGTCACTTGCACTGCATTTGCACAAATAATGTGTGTTACATGTATTGTGTAGTGTTTTTGTGCCCTGGGGAGTTCAGTGAAAAAAAAGACCACACTTGTGATGCTTGGATCATAATTTGAACAAAATAATGCCAAAATATTCTACGGTAGTAATTGCTGTTAACATGGGGAATGGGAGTGGAGGCAGTAGTTGGGCGGTAAAGTGATCAGAGAAACTTTCCAGAAGGTGGTCTGAAGGAGTGTGAGGCTCTTCAGGATGAAGACAACGATTACTGAGGCAGAAGGGGTATGGCCCTGAGTGTAGCGACAGTGATGTCTGGAAAAGATTATGGGAGATGAGGTCTAGCAGATCATATAGGCCATCCTCAAAACTCTGGTAGGTTTATTTTTAGATGGTAAGTCTTTGGAGGAGGTTGAGCAAAAAGTAATATGACCAGTATTTTTGTTGGTAAGTTTCATGAGCTGTGTTTAGGATGAAGGGGGCCAAGGGCAGGAATTTGAAGTAGAGCTGTGGTAGACCAGATTTCTGACAGTTGGCAAAAGTTCAGATGGTGACATTAAATAGCATTTTCAAACCTTACAGTATACTTTCGATCATTTTCTTTTGTACGGCCTGGGTTGAAAGTTGAATGATAAATTTTGTGGTGGATTTTGAGATTCTAAATGTTCTTGAGTGTAAGAATTTATTGAAGTTAATAAACATGGTGTGTTCGTAATAGCCTTTGTTTCAGCCCTAAGCGTTGTCTGTCTACCCAAATTCGAATCTCATCTGTAATTCAGTCTTTAAAGATACTGTTGAGGGGCACCTGGGTGGCTCAGTTGGTTAAGCGACTGCCTTCAGCTCAGGTCATGATCCTGGAGTCCTGGGATCGAGTCCCACATCGGGCTCCCTGCTCAGCAGGGAGGCTGCTTCTCCCACTGACCCTCCTCCCTCTCATGCTGCTCATTCTCTCTCTCAAATAAATAAAATCTTTTAAAATATCTAAATAAAGATACTGTTGATATGTGAGAATAGTGTCTCTGATATTGTCAACATAAGTATTTTTTTCTTTTTCCCAGGCGTGTGCTCGTCCATTAATATCTGTGTACTCCGAAAAGGGGGAATCATCTGGCAAAAATGTTACTTTGCCTGCTGTGTTCAAGGCTCCCATTCGACCTGATATCGTGAACTTTGTTCACACCAACTTGCGCAAAAACAACAGACAGCCATATGCTGTCAGTGAATTAGCAGGTATGGATTTTTCAAGGGTTGATATTTTTTAAGACCTGCTTAACAGCAGTGATGAAATTCCACTCCCATTGGTCCGTGTTTCTGAATCAACGTGATTTTCCTGGATGTTCTGATGCTGTTGCTATCATGCGTAATAGTCCTAGGTTGATATGGTTGAGTAGCTAAAACTTGTATTTCTTCCCAATTTCAGGTCATCAAACCAGTGCTGAGTCTTGGGGTACTGGCAGAGCTGTGGCTCGAATTCCCAGAGTTCGAGGCGGAGGGACTCACCGTTCTGGCCAGGGTGCTTTTGGAAATGTATCCTTTGTTTTACTCTGGATTGGTCAGCTCTTGTGGAATTTATCAGACTGGACCTGGTTTATTCATATTAGCAGTTTTGAAAATATTTCCAACATACCAATAGTGTCCAGGTTAAACATTGCTCTGGGCAGATAGGGGCTTGGCATTGGGAAGTTTTGCTTGCAGTGATGTCGTAATTTGCGTCTTACTCTGTTCTCAGCGACAGTTGCCTGCTGTCAGTAAGCTGGTTCAGAAGGGTGACGAAAATTCTTACTGAGCAAGACATAACCCTTTTATAATTCCTAAAGTTTGGGAAATGTGATTCTTAACTGGGAAAATAGATGTGTCGTGGGGGCCGCATGTTTGCACCAACCAAAACCTGGCGCCGTTGGCATCGCAGAGTGAACACAACACAGAAGCGATATGCCATCTGCTCTGCCCTGGCTGCCTCAGCCTTACCTGCACTGGTCATGTCTAAAGGTTTGTATATTTTGTATTACAGGAATGGGACAAAATACCCTTTTTTTCTCCCTCCACCTGACCCGTTTCATTCATGTTAATAATAACCTGTGTAGATTCTATTCATCCCAATGTTCCCTGACTAAATTTCTCTCTACTAAATAATAGTTCTACTTCAATCTATAGTAAGTCATCAGTGAATATTGTGTAATAACTGGTGAACTAATTGGAATGTGGTGATTTCGTGTATTAGAAAACTTTCCACTCGTTCATGTCCCTACTCTATTTTATAAACTGTCAAAATGATGAGATTCCACTTAATTGGTCCGTGTTTCTGAAACACATGATATTTGTGGGAATTCTGATTTGGCACATCATATGCTATTTTGCTTTTGTGGATTATATGAAATGTTTCTCGATTTTTCAAAAGTTTCAGGGTAACCAGGTATTTGTTGGTGTTGATTGGCATTATCAGGTCATCGGATTGAGGAAGTTCCTGAACTTCCTTTGGTGGTTGAAGATAAAGTTGAAGGCTACAAGAAGACCAAGGAGGCTGTTCTGCTTCTTAAGAAACTTAAAGCCTGGAATGATATCAAAAAGGTAGGCTTAATGAACAAATTTCCATTTTGGTGGTCCTTAACACAAATTTGTCAGATTTTTAAATTTCAAAAGATGTCTGGAGGACAGTATAACTCTGGATATGAGAACAAGGACTCAAACCTTATGACTTGGGTTTGAATCCTGACTGCCATTTACAGCTGTGTGTTAACGTTGGGCAATTTATTGTGGCTCCTTTTCATCGTAAAGTGGAGTTTAACTTTGAAGATCAATCGCAGGGTTCATACCTTAATCAAGATACTAAATGTTCTCTTTCTAGGTCTATGCCTCTCAGCGAATGAGAGCTGGCAAGGGCAAAATGAGAAACCGTCGTCGTATCCAGCGCAGGGGACCCTGCATCATCTACAATGAAGACAATGGTATCATCAAGGCCTTCAGAAACATCCCTGGTAATTGTATTGCTTACTCCAATGCCCATATGATGCAAGCTTACTTGGCTTTTATATGATGAGATTCCACTTCATGGTCCGTGTTTCTGAAACACATGATTTTGTGGAACTTCTGATTCTCAGCTGAATGAGTACAGCAATGGTTGAAACTGCCTAATTAGTGACATAGTTCTCAGGTACCTGATGTAGCACACAAGTCATAAACATGATTTGTGTTTCTTGTATTTAAAATACAGGCTCCCTAATTCTCTTTTCCCTTCAAAAGGAATTACTTTACTTAATGTGAGCAAACTGAACATTTTGAAACTTGCTCCTGGTGGGCATGTGGGACGTTTCTGCATTTGGACTGAAAGTGCTTTCCGCAAGTTAGACGATCTGTATGGCACTTGGCGTAAGGCTGCCTCCCTCAAGAGTAACTACAAGTGAGTGTTCTTCGTGTTCATATATTGAACACAGATGTTCATGCTGTGGATATTCACATTCAGAATTCGTTTGCATGTTTTCTAAATAATGGATGATGTTGTGTGGCCATTTCCCCTTATGTACAGATTGAATATTGTGTAATGGTGAGATATTCTGAACGATGGTAGTGTGATGGAAATTCTGATGGAACTCTGGAAGGTTTCAGTGTTCATTGAGAAATAGGAATTGAGCATCTTACTGTTCAGCATTTTTTTCTTCTCAGCCTTCCCATGCATAAGATGCTTAATACAGATCTTAGCAGAATCTTGAAAAGTCCAGAGATCCAAAGAGCCCTCCGAGCACCACGGTAAAGTTGTGATACTTATTCTTGCTAAAGCCTCATACTGCTGGTTATTTCAAAAATGTGGATAATGTGAATAAAATACTAACGTTACTACCTTTTTACAGCAAGAAGATTCATCGCAGAGTTCTGAAGAAGAATCCACTGAAGAACCTGAGAATCATGTTGAAGCTAAACCCATATGCAAAGACCATGCGCCGGAATACCATTCTTCGCCAGGCCAAGAATGTGAGTGTTAATTTGGTTTTTGATGATAGGTCAACTTTTTTTTTTTAGAAAGATAGGATTCTTAAGTTGTTCTCTTAATTTGTTGTAGCACAAACTCCGAATGGATAAGGCAGCAGCAGCCTTAGAAGCCAAATCAGATGAGAAGGGGGTTCCAAGCAAGCCTGTGGTAGGGAAGAAAGGAAAGAAGGCTATTGGTGTGAAGAAGCAGAAGAAACCTGTGGTGGGGAAAAAGGCTGCAGCTACCAAGAAACCAGCAGCTGACAAGAAGCCTGCAGAAAAGAAACCCACTGCGGAGAAGCCTACTGCCTAAAAACTTAGGTTTATTCTATAAAAGTCAAATCATTTTGGACAGCTAATTTTGAATAAAGATCCGATCACGGCCAGTGAGAAACACGACTTTTTGGATGTGTTTGTGAATCTTAGAGTTTTGTTGTTTGTTCCCCCATAAGTCTGGCCTCTTGGTTCCATTTTATAGTCTGGTATAAAACAGGGCCTTGCCTTTGTAGTAAATCACGCAGTTGAATGGGAAGAAGAATGTTGCATAAATCCAGATATAAAATCCAATTTGTAGTAACAATTTTTTTTTTTTTTAAAGATTTTATTTATTTATTTGAGATAGAGCATGAGAGGGGGGAGGGTCAGAGGGAGAAGCAGACTCCCTGTTGAGCAGGGAGCCCGATGCGGGACTCGATCCAGGGACTCCAGGATCATGACCTGAGCCGAAAGCAGTCGCTTAACCAACTGAGCCACCCAGGCGCCCTGTAGTAACAATGTTTTTGAGAAGCAAGTGGTTAAGACTTCTCAAATGTGCAGAAACTGTTAAAAGATTTAGCACTCCTCGGGGTACCTGGCTGCCTCAATCTGTTGAGCATCCACTTTTGGTTTTGGGTCAGGTCAAGAGCTCATGCATGGGTCATGGGATCAAGCCCTGTGTTGGTCTCCAAGTTAAGTGGGGAGTCCGCTTGGGATTCTCTCTTCCCTCAACATGCTCGCTCAAATCTTTTTTAAAAAGAATTCTCACTCCCGCAAAACAAAAAATACGCCTTGGAAAATAGGTAAAATTACATGGTTTTTTTTTCTCAGTACCACAAGAGGGCAGGATATATTTTGAGGCACTGCAAAAAGAAATTGATGGTTCCTATTACAACCTGCTGTGATAGAGTACAGTTATTAGGGGAAATGCTACCCTCGGTATTTTGACCCATAGTATGAAAGTCTCAGAAGCATTTTTCAGAACTACTTGGGTTTGCAGTTTTGGTAAAGGGATATGTTGACCAAGTATACCGCAGAGAAGTGTATCCAAAAGGACATGGATTTTTTTCCCTACCCTGTTTTGTCAGCATGTCTTAACCACCTTAAGGGTTGACCTTTCCTGACCTATGTTTGTCTCTTGTCAGGGTCTTGTTTTGCATCAGGTTTGTTTCCTTCAGTAACCTTAAAGTACACATCCAGGTGATGTATCCTCTGGTTTGCAGATACAAAGATCTCTGTCCCTTAGCATTTAAAGGCTCCACATCCCATTTGAATTTGTTACCACCGCTTTAATCGTCCTGCTCTAATTTGCGCAGCCTCCTGGGAACCACTTTCACGTGGCCAGGAATCCTTGCCTGCAAAAATCAACAGGGCTCGTGCGTCTCTGCTAGATGCTCGTGGTTTTGGTCTCTGCCCTCAGATGCGTTTGCAGGTTTTAAAGAGTTTAAAACAACTTTCAGTTGCAAAAAACTTCAAGCTCGATGCTTGGAGTACTGCTCAAAAGCATTTGAAACTGGGTACTTGACCATTTTTATCTCCCGAGTTCTTTATGGCTCCACATCCTGTGCTTTAGGATTCCCGATGATTACTGAACTTAAGTTTTTTGGTTAAAAACCCGGGGTTGTGCTGGGCAGAGCCGGTCGAACGTGAAGCAGCCAGCGAGAGTGCGGACGCCGGCAGGAAGCGCTTTGGCCCACGTGGCGCTAGCCCCGCCCAGCCCGCGGTTTGGTTTCCGGGAACGCGGGGGTCGTGACGTCATTACCGAGCGCCGGGCCGGACGGCGGGCGGGAGGAGGCGCCATGCTGAGCCGGCTTCAGGAGCTGCGCAAGGAGGAGGAGACGCTGCTCCGGTTGAAGGCGGCCCTGCACGACCAGCTGAACCGGCTCAAGGTGACCCTGCGTGTCCCGCCCCCCCGCTGCCCCTCTCCTCCGCCGCCCTGCGAACCCTAGGCGGCGGCGGCGTCCACCTGGTGGTTGGGAAGCATCTGGGAGCGTGTTTGATGTTGCGGGCCCACTTCTCTCAGAATCTTGATCCTGCAGGTCTAGGCTGAGGTTCAGCGATCTGTACGTGTGGCAAGGCTACCGCCACACCCCAATACCCGTAGATGCAGGTGCTCCGCACACCTTGCG